GTGGTCACTCCCAGCTGTGGTCACTCCCTGGCCATGGTCACTCCCTGGCCGTGGTCACTCCCAGCTGTGGTCACTCCCTGGCCATGGTCACTCCCTGGCCATGGTCACTCCCAGCTGTGGTCACTCCCTGGCCATGGTCACTCCCAGCTGTGGTCACTCCCAGCCGTGGTCACTCCCCGGCCGTGGTCACTCCCAGCTGTGGTCACTCCCAGCTGTGGTCACTCCCAGCTGTGGTCACTCCCCGGCCGTGGTCACTCCCAGCTGTGGTCACTCCCAGCTGTGGTCACTCCCTGGCCGTGGTCACTCTGACCCCACTGACTGCTGACCACTGCGGCCACAGGTGGTCACTGACCCCCGGCCGTCCCTGTGGTCACTCTGACCGCTGACCACAGGTGGTCAGTGACCCCTGGCCGTCCCTGTGGTCACTCTGACCGCACTGACCGCTGACCGCAGGTGGTCACTGACCCCTGTCCCATCCCTGTGGTCACTCTGACCGCACTGACCGCTGACCGCAGGTGGTCACTGACCCCTGGCTGTCGCTGTGGTCACTCTGACCGCTGACCGCAGGTGGTCAGTGACCCCTGTCCTGTCGCTGTGGTCACTCTGACCGCTGACCACAGGTGGTCACTGACCCCCGGCCGTCCCTGTGGTCACTCTGACCGCTGACCGCAGGTGGTCAGTGACCCCTGGCCGTCCCTGTGGTCACTCTGACCGCACTGACCGCTGACCGCTGGCCGCAGGTGGTCACTGACCCCTGGCCGTCCCTGTGGTCACTCTGACCGCACTGACCACTGCGGCCACAGGTGGTCACTGACCCCTGGCCGTCCCTGTGGTCACTCTGACCGCACTGACCGCTGACCGCTGGCCGCAGGTGGTGGACATCATGCGGGTGAACGTGGACAAGGTGCTGGAGCGGGACCAGAAGCTGTCCGAGCTGGACGACCGGGCGGACGCGCTCCAGGCCGGCGCCTCCCAGTTCGAGACCAGCGCGGCCAAGCTCAAGCGCAAGTACTGGTGGAAGAACCTCAAGGTGGGCCATGACCCAAAATCGACAGAAATAGACCCAAAATAGACCCAAAATGGGCTGAAATGGCCCCAAATAGCCCAGAATGGCCCCAAATAGCCCAAAAATGGCTCAAAATGGCCCAAAATGGCCCCAAATGTCCCCAAGCTCAAGCACTGGTGGAAGAACCTCAAGGTGGGCAATGACCCGAAATCAACAGGAATAGACCCAAAATAGGCCCAAAATGCCCAAAAATAGACCCAAAATGGGCTGAAATGGCCCAAAAATGGCCCAAAATGGCCCCAAATGTCCCCAAGCTCAAGCGCAAGTACTGGTGGAAGAACCTCAAGGTGGGAAATGACCCAAAATGGACAGAAATAGACCCAAAATAGACCCAAAATAGACCCAAAATGGGCTGAAATGGCCCCAGAATAGCCCCAAAATGGTCCCAAATGGCCCAAAATGGCCCAAAATGGCCCCAAAATGGCCCCAAATGGCCCAAAATGGCCCCAAATGGCGCCAGTCTCAAGCACTGGTGGAAGAACCTCAGGGTAGGCAGTGACCCAAAATCCCCCAAAATAGACCCAAAATGCCCCAAAATGGACCCAAAATCCCCCAAAATAGACCCAAAATACCCTGAAATTCTCCCCAAATCCCCAAAATTCCTCAGAAAATTTCAGAAATTCCCCAAAAAAACCCAAAATCCCGACCCCATGGGGTTCCCCCAGTCTTGAGAGGGGGAAAACCCCAAAAATTCCTGAAAAATGCCCAAAAAAACACCCCAAAAATTCCCTAAAAATGCCTGAAAAATCAGCCTAAAAATTCCCTAAAAATGCCTAAATATCCGCTCCAAAAATCCCGAAAAATGTCCAAAAATCCACCCCAAAAATTCCCGAAAAATGCCCGAAAAATCAGTCCAAAAATCCCACACAATGCCCAAAAATCCCCCCAAAAATCCCAAAAAAATGCCCAAAAAATCACCCCAAAATTCACTGAAAATGCCCCAAAATCCACCCCAAAAATCCTGAAAAATGCCCCAAAAAACACTCTAAAAATCCTGAAAAATGCCCAAAAATCCACCCCAAAAATCCCAAAAAATGCCCCAAAAATCACTCTAAAAATCCTGAATAATGCCCAAAAAAACACCCCAAAATCCCTGGAAATGCCCCAAAAATCGCTGCAAAAATCTCTGAAATTTTCCCGAAATTCCCGAAATTCCCCAAATCCCCCAAAATCCCCCAAAATTTCCCCAAATCCCCCAAATCGCCCATCTCCACAGATGATGATCATCCTGGGCGTCATCTGCGCCATCGTCCTCATCATCATCATCGGTGAGCGGCTGCTTATGCAAATGAGATGCAAATGAGGGAGCACGCATGCAAATGGGAGATGGGCACGGTGTGGGGGAAGCCGGGTGGGGCATGCAAATGAGGGGCGGGGTATGCAAATGAGGGGCGGGGTATGCAAATGAGGGGAGGGGCATGCAAATGAGGCTCAGTGGGTAACGAAGGGGTGCGTAGGTATGCAAATGAGGGTTGGGTTATGTAAATGAGGCGATGGGGTTACGGAAATGGAAGTTTTTGGGTTATGCAAATGAGGGCGCTGGGTATGCAGAGAAGGGGAATGGAATGCAAATGAATGGTTTTAGATATGCAAATAAGGCCTGGAGATGCAAATAAGGGTGAGGGATTCAAATGAGGGGCGGGGCATAATTGGGGGTTATGCAAATTATCAGCACATGCTAATGAGAAACTGGCATGCAAATTAGTGGGAGGGATGCGAACGAGGGTCTCTTATGCAAATGAGGGCTGGAATAGAGTGGGTGGAGCCATGTAAATACAACAGTAATTTATGTGAACCAAATGCAAATTATATGCAAATTAGATAGGAGACTCCATGCATTCAACCAAGGGAGTGCGGGGACCTGTGGGTATGCAAATGAGGGGGCGGAGCATGTAAATATGGGGCT